CATAAATTTACCTCAAAATGACATTTTGCAGCATCCAAGGGTCATCAATCGAATATCCAGTACTCGACATAAATCCTTTCTTATTATTGCTTGATGTCCACACGTATGTTATGATGACAATTCTATTATTAAGCTTATCAAATATCCCTCTGATGAGCTAGGACAAAAGTAGAGGTTGTCAATGCAATTTCATAAGCAATTGGTGCGTTCTAATAATCAAAAGAACTTTGGTTTCGAAACCCTAGATTCTGCTTGATTATATTCACTTGACAAACTCCAATTTTGATACAACATATTTCAAAAATAAAATAGAAATCAATAAGAATACAAAATCACTAAAAAAAATAATAATAAATAAAGAATTGGTAAAGAAACATTAGATACCAGAGTCAATGGTATCTAATAAATTCTATCTACTATTGGATTTGAACCAATGACTCCCGCCATATGAAAGTAATACTCTAACCACTAAGTTAAGTTGGTAATCTATCATCCAAAAGAAAATCCAATGGAACCCATCCCATCGATGGATTATAAATAGCATGTTCATTAATAAACAATAATAACCTAAGTAATACAATTCCAAAATATATGATACTGGATCATAGAATTCATCTTGACAAGAAATTTTATAATCCCTCCGTTCCAATGCAATAGTCCTGTTTACCATTTTTGTCCGTCCCAAAACAATAGTCTCATTTTCATATATAACCATATCACTAAAAAATTACCCTTACTTTTTCATTATTATTGCACAATTGCCACTACTTTTTATACTAATACACTCACAAGGGCAAAAAAGTCTTTTACCCATACTTTTGACCCACTATCAATATAATATCAATATTCCTTAAATCTCGTGCCAAACACAACCCAAACCATAGTTTTAGGACGGAGGGAGTATATTATAAAATACGTATCACAAGCGCTATGGACTATAGCTCAGTTGGTAGTGCACCTCGTTTACACAAACGCCAATATATTTCGGGGTAGTCCATTATACACTTGAATAAAAAGAAACTTACTTTCTTGAAAAATCGATGTCTTGTCCTCATAACTATTGAGAGAACATTAGCTTGACAAATGATTCAATCGGATTTTGGTGCCTTGTTAGGTGCCAAATAGACCAAGTCATTGATTTGAGATATTGATAAGGTGAATATCAGTGCATTCAATACTAGGGATAATGAGTATAAGGTTCTCAAAAAAATCCTTTTCGTCCTCCTATGAGCTTCAAGATGTATGAAGTTTCATATTTGATTTTCATTTTCAAAGGAACGATAGTGACTTTTATTCCGGGATTTATTCAAAATAGTTAATTACTTGGTTTCCAATCATCAAGTCAATTATCTATTTGTTACTTTGAGCGTTGTTCTAATATTTTCTGGTACAGTTGCTAAGTCCACATAATTTCCACTTTATGCATGGTTAGTTGATGCTATCGAGGGCCCTACTCCTATTTTGGCTCATATTTATGGATAATACCTTTGAAATATATATATACTTCTAAACTCAGTGTTAATACCTAAATGCTTTATTGACATAACCACATACATTATCTTTATATCTTGTTTCATTTTCCACATACCCATATACATATTTCAAATATTTTGGATACGCATACTTATACCCAAGTAACCTCAAGTCCTCAACTAGGGAAACCGATTGTTTTAAATACTCTAGACCACTATTCGTAGATAAAATGATTTCTTCAAATTGCTCTCCATTTCTAAGTTCATAGCCTTCCCGAAAGCTTGATCAATATTATCTACCAAATAAAAGGCTTGTTCAGGAAGACCATCTAATTCTCCAAAAAACCCTCTTATGGTTTATGCTAGATCAACAAATTTCCAGGGAGAACCAAAAATACTTCGGCTACAAAAAAAATGGTTTCTTTATTCCTTATTGTAAATGGTTGCGCTTAAAAGAGCTGCCTACATACCCGGTCAAAAGATCGGAATCAAGCCATACGTAATTCTAATTGTTTTCTTACATAAAAAAAGAACTAAAAGAACTATTACGTCATTGTAGTCGCTACCTAAACCCCCGTAAGGATGGACTGCAGGGTTTGCGTGGTTGTAACACTCATCAAACATATACACCAAACAACCGCATAATGGTAATCATTGCTCTTCACCTCCTTGTTGTTGCCTTTTTTGGCACTACTCTCCCCCTATTCCTCCTCGCCCAAGGGAGTCTCATTTTTGGACAGCTAAAAGAATGACAAAAAAAGGTAAGCTTTATTGCTTTAACATGTTGGTCCGACACCTTATTCTTCAATTTTTTGACCCTATTATCGAAGTACAAAATGGCAACTAGCTTACCAAAGATTTGTACTCTTTATGGACTCTATAAAACATTAAGTATCAGTCATCAATAGAGTATTTGAAATGAATTTAAAAGTTTATCCAATTCTCTAAAGAGATTTAATAACACAATTATGGTATACATATCACCCCTGAAGTATATTATATGGTACAATAGGTTTGAAAGATGCAAATGCGAGTACTTAACAATACCATAACTGAGGCTCGGGTACTTTAACTTGTACAAAAAATATCGACCTACAAACATGATTAATATACAAAAACAACAAAATAAAACACACAACTACAATAATTACATAAAAAAATGAACTTATTTACCCTTAAACCATGCAAATATAAAACCCAACTTTGACAATATAGATATACATTACCCAAAATAGAAACAAATAAACAACTATAAACAAACATACGGGTGAACAATAGCTTCTCAACAACGAATGAAGACATACAATATAACGACCAATGCTTAAACCACATTCAAATGAACAAACTAGGATATAAAATAGTACTGTAAAAAAAAAAATGAGGAGAGATTGACAATACACTTGTTGTTTTATGCTTCGTTTGGATGACAAGATGGATTGAAGATTTCTTTGACTATGTTGGTTGAGAATATGCAATTACTTTTAGGGGTACATTAAATTTATACAACGCGAGCTGATGAAAAAAATATGAAATGGAGACTATACTAAACCACATAGCTAAAGTAGAAAGTGCAAATCAATTATTCTATAACGGAGATTATTATTATTATTATTATTATTATTTTAAATTAGTATTTATAGATACATGCAGAACATCCAAGGTAAACATAGCTCATATCATACTTTGCAACATTCACCGTAACCATAGATGTTAATTATATAGGTCTGTAAGTTTATGCATATACGATAGTTTGGAGAAAAATTTAATATTCTTTACGTAGCAATGATATGTCAAGGGAATGAGAGAGGGACAAATAAATAACACAATGAAGAAAGAGAAGAAAAATACATTTAGGATTTTTGGTACAAAGAAATTGGGGCAAAGAAATAAAAATAATTTCATTTTTCTTGTTTGATTGAGACATAAAATTGACTGTTGAGAATTAAGTCATTTATTTTATTTTATTTTTTTATACATAGAGAATTGATAATTATGAGTATATTAATTTTAATTTTTTATATTTTAATTTTTTTTACTTATTCACTTTTATTAAAAAAATTTGTTTATTTACAATTTTTATTTTTTATTATTATTTAAATTTATAATTTTTATTATAAAAATTATTTTATTTTATAAAATAGCACTATTGAAATATAAAAAAATCAAAATAAAAAAATAGGGTGTGTTTGTTTGAGGGATTGGACCATTCATCCAATTTTTTTCCCCCAAAAACATCAAATTAAACACCTATTTTTTATTTTTTATATTATACTAAAAATCAATTTTACATTAAAAAATCTGATCAATACCTATTTATATCACATCATACGACTATTCAAATTCAAAAATTTTACTATTCAAATTCTAACTCAAAATCCAAACCCCAAAACAAAAACAACCTAGTTATTTGTTAAAATATTTTTTATTCATTCATAATTTTGATATCAATTATTTTGTCTCTCTTAATATATCTGTGTTATATTTTATAATGAATTTTTCATCTTAACAAATAAAAGAATAATTATTAGTTCTCCGTTGTATTCTCTTTATTTGCCATTTACTATATTTGTTTGCAATTTTATTTTGAGTACAACCTCTAATGCTTTAAATGTGAATGTATGATTAAATTTGGTGTAATAGAATAAATACAAAAATTTTGCAATTTTATTTTGTGTACAACTTTAAATGCCTTCAAAGTGAATGTATGTGTAATTTGGGGTCTGTGTCCGTTTGGAGCTTTGAATTTTTGAAATGAGATTCGAATAGTAAAAATTTTGAATCTGAATAGTATATAATATAAATAAATAAATGTTAAAGTTGATATTTTGAATATCAAATTAATTTTTAATATAATATATATATATATAGAAAAAAGTATTTGATCAGATACTTTTGCCATTTTTAAAAAAACAAAAAAAGCTATCACTTATATGTGCTTAGGGATGTCAACGGGACAGGTTTTGTAAGCTTCGGGATCCGCCATGCTAGAAAATATTAGGATTTAAGATCCGCCCCACCCGCTACAACGCGGCCCCAGGACCCGTCCCGTCCCGTCCCGCCAACCCGACAAACTCATTTTTTTTAAAGAAAAGAATAAAATAATTTTTTTTTAAAAAAATAACTTAATACTAAAAGACGTATGCGTTAAAGTACCATAAAATTATAGTTCTAGAAATAAGAATAATCAAATATATACGATAGTTCGTAGTGATGACGGTCAGCGGTAGTCCCAATTATAAAGAGAATTATAAAAAAACAAATGGTAGATAAATTTGATTTAAAATTAAAATTGTATTTTATATTTAATTTTTTAAAAATAAATAAATAATATAATTTATATTGTATAAAAATATAAATAAATTATAATAATTTTTAAAATATCCGGGATGGTGTCCAGGTCCGGAGTGAGACGGGTTTATAGTAAAATCCCGTCCAAAATCCGACCGAGTCTAAAACTCAAAATCTACACCCTGACCTGAACCAATATTTTTAGAACCGAACCCACCAGATTTCACATCCCTTTATGTGCCCTGCCTTTGCTCTAAGGCTATGCTATCCTATCCTATCAGTGCAACCTTCGAGGTGGCGGGGAGTTGTGTCTCTCTCCGTTTCTAATTTCCAATTCCATTCCAATCACCATGCCATCAGCATCAGCTTCTTCCCTACTGTTGCCACCGCCGCCTCTTCGGTATCCTTCTCCTCGATTTTCCCTTTCTTTCCCTTCCAGTCCAACACCCGCCACGATTCAGGGTCCATTTTATCCCTCTCAATTCACCCTTTCTCTCCAGAGACCCAGAGTTGCATCACAGACACAGTACTCCCAGAACCCAGACAAAGACGCAGATGACCAATTCCAGGTGCTGATGGCAATGCAAAGCGGTTACAACAACATTCTAGTCCTCGATACTCCCAATTCAAGGCTCCTTCTGCTCGATTCCACTCGTATGTTACTTAACATACATAATCTTCATTCTGCTTTTGCCTTTTGGCCCTAAATTACATGTTGATCGTGTCAAAAGTATTGCTCTTGGTTGTTCCTGGCTGTCGCAGATAATGTTCATAGCATGCTCAACAAAGCAACTAAATGGACCGGTTCCTATTGGGTACGTATTGTCCTTCATTGACAATTGCTGTTGCACAAGAAATACCATTTCGCCTCCTCAAAACAACTTCATACTCATTTTATGTCATAAATTCGATTGTGGACTGGTTTTTAGCCACGTCATGAGCTATCTATATATACGAGGTTGTAATCCGTTTATCATTGCAGGACGAGTTTGCTACATTGCCGCCTGTGGTTCCAAATGGTCCCATAGCAATCCTTGGCTTGGTAATTAATTATACTTTCCCCTGAATTTTAAGGTGAATATTTACTGCTGGGCACTTCTGGTTCAGGAGACACACACTTGTTCTGCAGTCATGCCTAATTGGTATATTACATGGTGGCATAACAAAATTTTGCAGGGTGGAGGAACAGCTGCACATTTGATGCTTGAACTATGGCCGTCACTGCAGCTGGAAGGCTGGGAGATAGATGAAATTGTATCGATCCTAATTGTTCTTCCTGCATTTAGATTCATTTGACTCCTAACACATTTTTATTTTCTACACAGTATTTTTGCATTTCAAAATGATAAAATTGTGGAATCAACTTACATTTTTTTGAATACTTAGCTTCCCTGATGCTAGATGACAGATCAGTGATCTATGAGAGGATGTTAAAGATTGTTTTGTTTGTTTGTTTGTTTGTTTGATCCCTAGTTAATACATATATCAAGAGACTATCTTGGGCTTTCTGATGTTGAAAAGCAAACAGTCGATGGAGGAGTGCTTAACATTCACATTGGTGATGCGTTTTCTCCAGATGTTGCTATTCCTGGGGGATATGCAGGTATGCAGTTGATTCAATTATGCTAATACAAGTATTATACGTTAGGTCTGTCCTGAAACTATGATTGCTTTCAACATATTGCATGCAGGAATAATAGTTGATCTGTTTGCTGATGGAAAGGTCTTGCCAAAATTAGAACAGGTAAATATATAATTCAACAAAATCTAACAGCTACTGGATATGGTATATGTTCGTGCATTCATGCTCTTCTTTGAGACAGTCATGATTGGTAGCAGTGTACATTTCTTTTATTTGATTGCTACAGACCTAAGAATATGGCCTAATGTAGCTGTTGATTTGACAAATGCAAGATAATAGAAGGAAAAGGCTAAGGAAAAATAAAAATTTTGTTTAGTTATTAATGGCAAAGTTATAGTTTGACAGCTTGGTCAACCTTGAAATAGAATACTGAAGTAACAGACAGTGTAGCTTCTCATTTCTTCTTCATTCCTCAGCACATGATGTAGCCAAATAAATGTCTTGTTTTTTTTATGTATACTTTCATTTTGTATCCAAAAACTTATCCCGTTGATATATAACTTCTGTTCCAATAATCTTCAATCTATGTTGTACTTGTATATATGTTTGTTACTCTCATTCAGACTTCTACTTGGTTGGAGCTCCGTGATAAATTGAAGCCCGGTGGGCGCTTCATGGTGAACTGTGGTGCTGGTGAAGAAGGATTGCTTGATGGGAATGGAGTATGGCAACGGGATGATGAATCATCCAACGATGCTTGGAAGCCGAATGCTACGATAAGAGCTCTATGCAAAGCTTTTCCTGGACAAGTAAGGTTCCATCCGTGTTTTTATTATTGTTTTTGGTTTCTATTATTATTAGGAAGTTATGGGTTTCGGCACCCATATATGGTAGTGTCTGATATATATATGTGTGTGTATGTGTGACACCAAGCAAATTGTCATTAGTTCCTTTTAGGAATGACAATGGATCTGGGTTTGAAATCTGACCCAAACCCAACTCATTTAATTGAGGTCTGGTCCAATTATGCGCCAGGTCATGGGTCTCAGTGTGGATTTAATCCAAACATGGATTTGACTTGATTATATACTAATATATTCATAATATTTAAGGAAAAATCATTTCTATCAATATAATTATATAATTTTTTTTGTTAAATTTGATTTATTTATTCATGATGATTTTCTTAAATCAATATATAGATTTTGATGCATGTTGGGTTCAGGTCTACGTTTATGTCCAAGTTGGAGTGAAAATGATAAGTATTGAAAAGGTATTTTGGTTTTATCGGGTCTTATCAGATATATCTTGGTTAGGATCTGGGTATATTTGCGTTTGGATATAATTAGGTCCAATTCGGATCTTATGTTTAATGATATGTATTCGGGTTTGGTCTTGTTCCAGCAGTACCCAACCATACCCGATATATTGTCATCTTTAGTTTTATTTTGCACTCATTTTGAAGGAACAAATACCCCATTGAACTTGAAAATAAAGAACATACTGAGATTATGGCCATTGATTTATTGTATTTTTATTGATCTACATCTACTTTTCGGTTACCTTATGGGCATTGACAAAGAGTCACATTGAAATTGCAATAAATGAGAAATTAAGTCGAAGCACGTAATGCTTGTAGAATATTAAAGGGATTTCTATCTCATAGCTCTAAGAAAAATTAATTATGTTTTAACTTAAAGTCTAAAAAAGAGCTGCAAATATAGGCTAGGAAATTTTGTAGAGGCGCTAGCCATCCCACAAATGAGTTCCTACATGCCGTCATTATTGAACTATAACAATTTATACAAAAATCTACTTGAAGGTTGACTTTGGATATCAATTGATAGGGAGCCACAATAGCCAAGTGATTGCGTGTTGTTCGTTTTTACACGACATGAGAACAAAGAAAATGGTGGCAATGGGTAGATTACCATACTATTAATAGTAATTATTAGTCCTTAGAGCCATTTAGTAGTCACCTACTAGTATAATTAAAATTACGGTTGAGAAAGGGAGTTTTTAGGTAGTTGATACCGACATATAATGCAACGGCGGGAGGATCGACTGCCAATGTTATATACGTGGCGTGCTTGGTGGAAGCAATCCACTTTGGGTTGATAGTAGCATTTTAGTTGTTTAAGTCTATTGGATTTCATATTTCATTCTATTGTTGGACCTATAATAAGATTATTGAACCACTGTTCCCCGATAAGGATTCTTTAAGTCAGAATTCTAGGGATCTAGGATTTTGATAATCAACCTCGTTATTCTTTATTTTTTTTAGTCGATAAAGATCTATATTTCACTACGTGCCAATTTGGTCCTACCTGCCGGATCATCCGAAGGATGGTGAATACACATCCCGGAGATGTAGACAACCGTCTCAACTCACTAAGATAACCTAACCGCCTTGAATGCAGCGCATACGAAGACGCGACAACATATGTATATGGTTAAGACAATGCATACTCAAATGTAGACTTAGATAGGAGCCATACAAAACTAAATGATTGGACAATTTCACAAATTGATGACAGATCTGGGCGGTGACACTAACCACCTTACGACTGTGGCCAATAATCCCACAGAATCCCCACGTGTGACTAATATGTGCAAACCTAGTGCACCATCAATAGGGGACCAACTGTCAGTCTTCTCAAACCCGGTAGCAATACCGAACATAATGTTATTGCTATTTAATGGTGCTGATCCGATTGGTTGGATCGGAAAGGTATAGCAACAGTTTAAACTACATGATGTCATGGGGAATTGCTAAAAACTGTTAGTAATAGTTGCCATGGAGGGAATGGTGCTAACTTGGTTCCGCTACTTTTAAGCAAAGCACGAGGATTCTTCATAGAGAATTAATGCAAGCGATGATACATCATTTTGATGACTGTTATGCAGGGAGCCCTTACAAGTGACTTGCTTCACTAAAACAAAAAGAAGATATCGACACTTATATCAAAATCTTTTTTACAACTCGGCCACCAAACTTTAGATTTGGCAAAAGAACATGTGTCGGGCTACTTCTTTTGTGGTATGTCAGGCAATTCGTAACAAATTAAGATTGTTGGACCCCAGATACTTAGACACGGCAATAATGGTAAATCATAGTGTAAAAATCGAGTTATTGGAATACCAAGAAAGGAATCCAGGCCGTAAGAGTAAGCCAACCACCATCCTCTATCCAAGCAGAAAATACAGTGAGTCCACCAATGGTAAATCACTCGCCGGGCATTCGCTTGAGCAAGAGAGTATTCTAAGCAACCATGCCAACACATCACGCTCGGCAACCTTGGGCATTCTTTGGCGAGGATACATTATAGGAATCTTTCACTGCAAAAAATCAATTATCTTAGAGAAAAAAAGCCATGCTTTCAATGCAAACAACCTTACAACCCGAATCATGAGTGCCCTATAAAATATATATGTATGTTGATCATGCATGAAGGGGAGTTTTAGGAGTCTAGGCTAGAATAGGTGGATGAGGGAGATAACAAGTTGTCAAAAATGGAGATAGGGGTCAAAAAGGAAACACGAGGAATGCGTCCTTACCCTTGTATAAAATAGTGGGTTTCATAAGGCCATGAACTATGAGGTTCATGGAATGCTTGATGGAGGGGTGGTGGAATACTTATGGATAGCAGTGCGAGTCATAGTTTTGTGTCAAAAGAGTTCGTGGGGAGATTTTTATTATCAATACAACACGATGTATTGTTTATGGTGATACTAAGGGATGAAAGACGTCTGCCGTGTACTAGAGTTTGTAGGGCCTTGCAGTTGGGGATTGGCAAAGAAAATATTGTGGTTGATTGTTATATACTTTCGTAAAGTAACGTGGATTTCATATTAGGAGTTGCATTGCAATAAAATTTGGGCGATGTACGAGTCAATTAGGAAACTATGACAGTGAAATAACCAAGAAAAAAAGATTGTTATCCTTCAGTGAAATAAACCTTATTGGAAACAATAGAACCAGCGAGTTGAGTAAAGACTTGAGAAGCCATGTTAGCAATGTCGGCCAACAATGCAGGCTAGAGGGATCTCGAGAAAGTGCTGGAGCAATATGTAGACATGTTTGAAGAGTTGGGAAGATTGCCACCAATACGTGACAATGATCATCGTATAGAACTCCAACCAAGTTCTTAAACATTAATAATGGATTTCAAAAGCATTCTAGAAGATAAAATAGTTTTAATCCCCCGATGGATCATATGACGTGGATGCATCATTTAGGTATAGTGGAAGCACCATCGCCTACAAAAAATTTGTAAAAAGAGGGTCAACACGACGGTTGAGTAATCGCAATTAATCAAAGGTAAATTAATACGGTATAAGTCATGATTCACGTGTAAATGCCATAAAATCATTTGCAGAAGATAATTTGAATTAAAATGTCATATATCACATAAACATAACTCACACACACCAGTTTTTTAGCGCCTTCATTATATATATATTTTTTATTTTCAAATAATGGCGATGGACACATCCCGAAGAAAACTCCACTATGCCTTAATTAGGGCAGGCTGAACCCAATTTTCCAACCTTATTACTTCATATGACACGCCACATAATTACACATAGCAAACATAGGGTCACAACCCTCAAGAAAAGCTCCATAATAGGTACATAAGGGTTCGAAGCCAAAGTACACGTAAGCCAATTTATTTATTAGTTTACGAGGGGCGCCAAACGGCCCACAACCCTTTAGTCTCCAATATAACATACCAAAAGAGGATTGTACGCAATCCATCTCTCCATCACGGATAACAGTCTAAATACCGTTTCATCGTGAATGACGAGCACCTCGGAATCACCCAAAAAGGGAACCCGCCATCTCGATCCCTCGGCCTAGCCCATTCGGGTTCTAGTTTGAGGTTAGCTAGCTATCCTAAAATACCGGTATACCTTCACGTATTTGCAAGACACAGAGGTGGAAGACTATGCCTTATCATCCAAACAATCGACGAGTTAATCGAACTCGACATGTAGTTTCAATTACCAATATGACCCAATACTCAATATGCTATTAGGAAAATTTAAAAAGAGTTTTCAATTCAAAACATTCCAATTGCCAATATTTAGCCAACCAAGCAAAAATTACAGTATTTAGAATCTAACAAGTTTATTAAAGTCTCACTTGATTTTGCCAAGTAACCGTTTAGATCATATGTCCATCCAAGTAAGCATAGTCTAACCCCAAGAAACGCAAAAAAAAAAAAAAAAAATCACAAATCCTTTCCTAAAAATCATAACTAGGCTAGGACAAAATTAGAGTTTCTAATCCATTTCACAAATCATTCACTTTTCTACTTAAATCGCCGTACAGATTTTCGTATAACTCTACATATCATCCTAATAAGCTTCCTAAAGGAAAGATGGGAAAATCTAAGGTTTTAGAACAAACTCATTTAAAAGTACTTTCAAAGAAACCACCAAGAATCAACAAATAGGTTTAGAAACTATAGCATATCAATTATCTAAGATTAATTTCACTTACCTTAAGAGAAAAATCCAAGAGGAGAAGAAAAAATTTCAAAGGAGTAGAAGAGGACAGCTGCGCGACGGCTGGCTAGAGGAGAAGTCGCTGCTTGCTCCTTCCTGTTCTGCCTCTGTATTTTTTTCTAATAAACATAATAGAGTTGGGTCTTTTTAAATCCTTGGGCCTAAAATGAGCCAAATCAAAACCTTTTCACTACAACACTTGAATTAAATCTTTCTAACTCCTAAAATAAATGTATCACATAAGCCTAAAATAAAATTGCCCGACCTGGCATCAGACTCCGGCAAGTTCCGGCGAACTTTCGG